GGGGTGAGGGTGGTGAGAGAGTGAGGGTGGTGAGAGAGTGAGGGTGATGAGGAGGTGAGGGTGGTGAGGGGGAGAGCCGCGGCTCACCTGTGAGGGGGAAGCAGAAAGGGCGGGGTTTAAGGGAGAGGGTCGTGTCGCCACCGCCGCCGCCGTCGCTGCGTTTTACTGCGGGGAGCTACAGCAACGGCGGAGGAGAGATTCGCGTGGGAATCGCAGAACAAGAGGGCGGGGCTTTCTGCCGTGTTCGACGCGCAGGGTGGCGGTGGTGGCGGTGGCAGTTGCGGACCTGTCTATAGTAGGTGTGTGTGTGAGAGAGAGAGAGGTGAGAGAGACAGGGCGTGTATGCGTGTGCGTGTCCGCCTCTGCGCCTGACGGCGTCACGTAGCCCGCCCTTCCTCCCTCCCTCCATCCCCACAGCATCCCCAAGGTAAAAGTCAGAGGCGCATCCACAGCAGTGAGATTGGAGGAAAGGGTCGGGGGCGGCGGCTCGGCGGAGGCGGGTCGGGGGCGAGCCGGGAACATGCCGGGGGCGGGCCGGAGGCGGCGGGCCGGGGACGGCGGGCCGGGGGCGGCGGGCCGGGGTGTTCAGACGCGTGTGCCGCCGGCGGGACGCGATCTTCACAGCAGACCGCACAATAACGCCCCGGCAATGAGCGGGAAACGTGACCAAAAGTAGTGACCAACTCTCGGTGGGCGACACGGACGCGACGCTATGAGGCGTGGGGTGGGGAAGGGAGGGGGTAGCGGCCCGCCACCGCTGCTGCTGGGGCCGCCGTGACGATAATCTTTTAGCACAACGGAGACTGCTGAATTACGCGAGGGGAGTGCTCCGCTCGGCGCGACAAAATTGCGCCCCGACGGCGCCCGCTCGCTCGCCCGGCGCGCTTGCTCCGCGCGGCGTCACTTCGCTACCCGTTTCATCTTCATCATCCCCTGCTGCTGCCGTGTCCAGCGCGCGCGGCGCGACGCGTCCGTCCTCTCTCCCTCGGGAAAGTCGGTCTCGGGAGGTTTATTTATAAATCTCCACCGCCCCACTCCCAACCTCACCCTCATCCTCGGCTCTCCCCACGGCCCTGCCCAGCCCAGCTTGGCCGGGTGACTCGTGCGGGAAAGGGCTAGGCTGGGCGGCGGGAAGGGGCGGCTTTGCGACCGACGGCCACTTAACTGCTGTGGCCGTGCTGGCGGCGGCCTCGTGCCCCGCACCCCACCGGGCCTCCAGCCGCCTCCAGCCGCCTCCAGCCGCCTCCAGCCGCCTCCAGCCGCCTCCAGCGCCTACAGCCCGCCCGTGCTCCTCATTCGATCGTGCCCCACGCCTCTTCCCCCCCCCCCCCCCCCCCCCCCCCCCCCCACCCCCCCCCCGCCCCCCCCCCCCCCCCCCCCCCCCCCTCCCCCCTCCCCCCCCCCCCCCCCCCCCCCCCCCCTCCCCCCTCCCCCCGCCCGCCCCCCCCCCGCGGGGCTTTTGAAGCCAAACCGCGTATCAATCATTGTGACCGGCCCCGGGCCACGGCGCGGCGCTGCCGATGCGCCCCACCCCAGCCCCGGCTGGCCCCTGGCTCCGGTCCGGGTCGTTTTCAATTTGTGCGTTGTGCTTTTTGTCTTATGGCATTGAGTATGATTCCCTCGGCTTCCTTGATTTATGTCAGGCTGGTGGGCCCGCTCATAACACAAACAGCCCATTTGCTGAGCAAATCCCGAGGGCAGCGGCACTAAGAACTGTTAAAGTTATAACCTGTGCGTAATTTTCACTGTTGATGGATTAGACAATGGGTGAAAGCTAACCAGTAATTTCGCAGCAACCTCAATCATGAAAGAATGTGAGAAACATTTCCAACGACGCAAATTTCTGGTTGAATCAGATTGATATAACAATAAGTGAGGTCAGACAAATCCAAAGCTTTGATAACGCAGTAAATGTGTGCAGGCAATTACTACTCCAAATAATAAACCAAGCATTTTCTTTACCAAAGTGTTCAACAATGAATCACATTTAAACTAAAGATAAAAGAATTAACCAAAATCATTACGTAACTTGGCCAACAACAATGATTTACATTTGAAAACAAAATTAAAATAAAAACAGTTAAACTTACCCACATGTTGCCATTTCCATCCACTTGGGAGTCACAGAAGGAGGTGTTTGAGTTGCCTGTTTGATGCATGTGACGTAGGTATGAGGCACCATCATAACCTCCAAATCAAGTATTGCGGCTTCCCACAAACTGAACACAACATTTTGTTTGGGATGTGGGATACCCAATTTTAATATTCCCGAACGTGAGTTCCCAATTACTTCGCCACTTCGATTTGAAACACTGAACGAGGAACACATTTAAAGAAAAACACAAACACAGAGCGCAGATGTTATTGTTGTTTCCCCCTACGAACCAGCTTTCTTCGCTACCAACTGCTATGAACGGATGCAACATGCAACGAAATTTAGTTTCATGAAATAAATTCGCATGTCTCCAAATTAAGAAGAATGGCATAATTCTAATTTCGAATGAAATTGCTAAACTGGATTTTCTCCGCGTGTCTCGTTTTCTCTTCGGGAAAGCCGACTCGTACTTACCACGATGCAGAAGACAGTTCCTTCGAAAGTTTGGTGCCGCAGTGGGGGTCCTCACGCTCATGTGCTCCCGGTGGGCTTTTGGGGACCGGGACCGGCGGGGACGGCGGAGTGGGTGCCTGGGTGGGTCCTCCCCCGCCCTGCTCCGCCACGCCCCCCGCGCCGCCCCGCGTACGCCCCCGCGCGCCCGCCGCCGCCGTCTCAACCGCAGTGCGATCTCTTGCTGCGCTGGCCGAGTCTGTGCGGCGGCAGCCCCGGCGCTATTGCTGTCCGGCTGCCCTTCCTTTTACTGCCGCCCCCAGCACAGCAGCCTCAGCCCCGGCGCTGCGGCTGCCGCTGCGGGGGATGAAGCGGTGACTCTACCCCCGCGATCCGCTTAAAGGTATGACGCTCAGCCTGCTCAGCCTGCTGGGCCACGCGGTTTCATTTTCTTTGCAGCGGGAATGTGGGGAGAAAATGCTGAAAACCGGATCCGACCGGCGGCCGCCTCGCTTTCTTGCCCCCCCCTCCCCCTTTCCTCTCTACTGCCGCTTCTCTCAACTATCTGGACTCTCTATATGGCCCTACATGGCAGGTTGCTTCTGCAGCGCGCCACTCGCGATCTGCAAAGACGATTGTATCGGGACGGCA